TACACACATGGTGTAATAAGAGAGAAGCAGATCTTATTTGTTAGAAGTTGGATAGAGTACTCATAAATGAAGAGTGGGTTCAGAGATTTTCATGTGTTTACAGTTTTTTTGAAGCTGGGGGCTGTTCGGATCATTTGAGATGTAAAATCCAGTTTAGAGAAGAGGAGAGGAGAAAGAGAAGGACTTTTAAGTTTACAAATTCCATAGCGCAAATGAATGAGTTCTTACCGCTGATAGAGACTCAGTGGAATCAAGGTGCTCCTCTTTTCCATTCAACTTCGTCTATGTTCAGGCTTTCAAAGAGGCTTAAAGGATTAGAACAGCCTCTTAGAGCTCTAAGTAAGATGAAGCTGGGGAATTTGTATAAGAGGACGAAGGATGCATATATGGATTTTTGTGAGAAGCAAGAACAAACTATGCAGACTTCAACTATGGAAGCTATAAATAAGAGGGAGTTGCATATGAGCGATGGATGTATCTTGCTGATCTGGAGGAGAAGTTCAGTAAACAGAGATCGAAATTACACCGGCTGCAAGTGGGGGATGGAAATAACAGAGTTTTTCACAATGCTGTGAAGATCAGAGAGATACAAAACTTCATTGGTGAGATATTATGTGAAGATGGAACAATTGTTGAAGGAGAGAATATAAAGCAGGAAGCAGAAAGGTTTTTTTATGAATTCCTTAATCATAAACCAAGCGACTATGAGGGAGTAACGAAAGAAAAATTAGAGGAGCTCCTAAAGTTCAAGTGCAGTGAGAGTGATAGAGAAGTCACTGAAGAGGAAATTGAATGAATCATTTTTGGGATGCCAGGGAATAAATCTCCGGGACCTGATGGGCTAACAGTGGAATTCTTTAAGGAAGCATGGCAGATAATAGGGAAGGATGTAGTGATTGCAATACAATCTTTCTTTATAAAAGGGTTTCTTCCTAAGGATTAAATTCCACTGTTTTGGCTCTCATTCCTAAGAAGGATACAGCAAGGATGATGAAGGATTACAGGCCCATATCCTGCTGCAATGTGTTGTAGAAGGCAATCTCTAAGATAATCGCAAGAAGATTGAAGAGTGTGATGCCGCAATGCATTGCTTTGAACCAGTCGGCTTTTGTAGCAGATAGATTACTGATGGAGAATCCGCTTCTTGCTACAGAATTAGTCAAAGATTATCACAAAGATTCAGTCTCCCCAAGGTGTGCTATGCAGATTGACATCTCAAAAGCCTTTGATTCTGTGCAATGGAGTTTTTTGCTGTTGATTCTAGAAGCTCTTCATCTGCCTTCGAGATTTATACATTGGATAAATCTCTGTATAACAACAGCCTCTTTCTCTGTGCAAATCATTGGAGAATTGGCAGGTTACTTTCAAAGCTCTCGTGGATTAAGACAGGGATGCTCTCTATCTCCATATATTTTCGTGATAGGCATGAATGTGTTATCAAAAATGTTGGATGAAGCAGCAGAGAAAAGAGGATCGAATATCACCCAAACTGCAAAAATATAAGATTAACACATTTGTGTTCTGCTGACGATCTTATGGTCTTTGTTGAAGGGACAAAAAGATCTATTGAGGGGGTTTTGCAGGTTTTTGATGAGTTTGGAAGGATGTCGGATCTTCATATTAGCTTGGAGAAATCGAAGTTATTTATGGCAGGGATTACTCAAGAAAATCAAAATGATATCACAGTGCATTTTCCATTTGAAGAAGGGAATTTGCCTGTCCGATATCTAGGACTCCCACTACTAACGTAACGAATGACTGTAAGTGACTACTTACTTTTAGTGGAGAAGATAAGGAGGAGAATCCATTCTTGGACAGCGAGATTTCTATCTTACGCAGGGAGGTTACAGCTAATTAAATCTGTCATAACCAGTCTCACAAACTTTTGGATGGCAGCATTTAGATTACCAAATGAGTGCTTAAAGGAAGTTGAGAGGCTTTGTGCAGCTTTTCTTTGGTCTGGGCCAAAGCTGGAGGGTCGTAAAGCTAAGATATCCTGGCAGGAAATCAGTAAATTGAAGAGAGAAGGAGGGCTAGATATAAAGCCTCTGAAGGAAGCTAATTATGTTTGCTGTCTTAAATTGCTGTGGAGGATCCTCTCTTCTGCTCAGTGTCTCTGGGTCAATTGGATAAAAGCTTACTTGATTAGAAAAGGATCTATATAGATGATGAAAGGAACTCAGCAAGGGTCTTGGATGTGGAGAAAGCTCCTTAAATACAGAGAAATTGCAAAACAGTTCCATCGAGTTGATGTTAATAATGGAAAGGTGACCTCTTTTTGGTATGATTCTTGGTCACCAATGGGTAGATTGTGGGATATTTGTGGTGACAGAGGGTTTATTGATAAGGGAATTCATGCTACAGCTACGGTTTATGATGTTATTCATGGGTGTAGAAGGAGAAGGAGGCATCGTGAGATATTGTTTAACCGAATGGAGGAAGTAATAGCTGAGCAGAAATTAACGTTGACACATGAAGAAGATAGAGCTTTATGGCGTTATAGAGAGGATCAGTATAAGAGCAATTTTTTTACAAAAGAGACTTGGATGATGATAAGAGATGTTCATACAGAGTGTGATTGGGGAAAAGTAGTATGGTTTAAGTACGCAACACCATGATATGCGTTTATAAATTGGGTGGCAATGCATGATAGACTATCTACAGGTAGTAGAATGTTAAACTGGAGTATAAATTGCATCTTTGAATGTCAATTCTCTGCAACGATTTGGGAAGAGCTTACAAAAGGATTCCTGTGTGAGTCTTATACTTCTAAGTGGCAGGAGATATTGCACTTACTTAAAGATGACTCACAGCAGAGGATACCAAAGTTCACTCTTCAGTATGTGTTCCAAGCAGCTTTGTACACAATTTAGCGTGAGAGGAATGCAAGGCGTCATGGTGATAAACCGTCCTCGACAGGTAGACTGATTCATCTTTTGGATCGAAATCTGCGAGATAGATTTTTTACAATTCAAAGAATGGGTGGAGGTAAGAAATATGAGGATGGATTGCTTTTCTGGTTTGCCACAAGAAGCAGGAGATAGAAGGATGAATGTGTTTTATCTTTTGTCTTGTAAAAAGTTCCAAAGTTGATGCACTTGATGTAAAACAATGTCTTTTGATTTGAATAAATTTAACATTTAATTCAAAAAAAAAAATGGACAGAAAAAAGTTTAGAGATAAGAAAAACTTAACATAATTTAGTTGGAGTGTTTTTTTTTTTTTGTTTTGTAAATGTTTAATAATCATTTATAAAGGTTTATGAACTCAATTTACCCCTTAAATATTTAAATCTAACAATAGTTATTAAATCATAAATTTATTTTATAAAGTAAAAAAATATTTCAGTCAATTTCTCAACTTCTTTTTAAAAATCAATTGGTGCATCGGAAAATTGAATGTTTATCATGTATGGTAGAGTGTATATAATTCTTCAATGTTTTAGTTAGTACAACAAGAAACAGTTTATCAAATTATCAATTTGGTAGAATTTATTTTTAATTTAAGTTTTGCTACTCATTAAATATTTTATTGCAGGAGTAGTTTGTCTTCAGTTTATTTATTTATTTTATTGTTATTTAAAATTTTGAAATCTAAATAACTAGTTTATTATTTATATAAAACAATTATGCATAAAATAATAAAAAATCTAATAAAAAGTGAGAACATATTAAATGTAAATTATTATTATAATTTACTTTTATCGGTGAAATAAAGGAGAAACCTACAAAGTTGTTGAGAGAATCAGCAGCAAGAAGAGATCTTTCATGTTTCTCAACAATAGTAGAATAATAATATTTATTTTTGCAATTATTTTTTAACCGATAAACCAATCAATAAATAGCACCTGTAGAGCTTTTGTGTTTGGGGCACCTTTAGAGTAGCATTGGTGGGGGGGGGGGGGTTCTCCACCCTTTTCTTTAGATTTTAATGATAAGAAAAAATAAATAGTGGAGAGAAGAAGTCAGAAAGTGTGAAGAACGGCTTGTGGAAGAGAGACTTAACAAAAAAAACTGAGAGACGATCTACCTATTTGCATCTCTTTCATTGGCTTACTTTCTTTTGTTTTAACCTTTAGAGAAATTACTTGGAATAACTCAAATCATACTAGAAAATACTACATTAACTCATAAAAAATTTGTAATTATTAGAATGACTCAAGGGCTTGACAAATTTACTAAAAAACAGATTTCACAACATTAACGACAGATTTGTCTATTAAAATATAAGTAAATACAATAAAATGTTAATCCTAAAAAGAAATAATTAGGCAAAAGGAAGTTGAGTTTTTTTTGTCGGTCTTTCTCTTCAACCCTTGACGACATCGACTCTTATCCATAGTCGTCTTCTTTGTCTCCATCTCCGGCGACTCCATTCTCAGAAACAGTCGCCGTCTATTTCGCCTCGTTTCTTCAAGCCGGTGCCGTCCCTTTGATTCACGAGAACCCTAGCTCTGATTTTGGGTTGTTTTGGGATCGTAAAAATTGGATTGTAAGTGCTAAATCTTCAAATCCAAGTTGTTCTTACATGGTTTTAACATATATTTCATGATTGATTGATTAACTTTGGAAGCCCTAATTTCCAATTTCATCTCCTTTGACTTAGAATCCGAGAAACTGTTTATGTTTTTTTCACAATTAAGATTATGGTATAGGGTTTGATTATTGTTTCTTTGAATGTTTAAGTTTGTCACTGGGATTCCTAATTCCAACATCACCTTTGACAATGAACTCGAATTTTAGTTTCGAATTTTAGTTTCTGTTTTTGTTTAATTTTATGTATGTTATGTTTTTATTCTTAACTTGAACTTTATAGTTCTTTAGAATCACTAGTTAAAGTTTGTTCTGTTTTTTTCATGTTTTGGTTATGTGTGTTTCATCTGATTATTGTTGATTGTGCTTTGTTTTTGCAGGTATGGCGTTATCTTCGGATACTAGAAAATATCCTCCTCGTTGTGAGTAGAAAACATTGTGTAACTTCCACAAGGTGTGTCTTTGTGAATGATGTTATGGTTTGAAAATGGAGTGCAGATACAGAGGCTAAGTAGAGTAGATTCTGATTTCTCTGGTTTTCTTCATCATTCTGGGATACCATCTATAGACATGTACTATGGTGCAGGTCCCCAACATTCAAGAATGTGATTATTATTTCATGTCTAAGTGAATTTTTTTCTAGATTATCATGTGTACCACACAGCTTTTGACTCCTATGAGTGGATGATCGGCAATGCAGATCCGTTGTTTCATCGTCATGTTGCCAGTAAAGCTTTGTTTTCTTCTTTAATTTTCCAGTTTTTATGGCTTCTTGCAGAGGATGTGACTATTGTATGCATTTTATATATTTCTCAGTGGCTGGAATTTGGGGACTTTTAGGAATTATATTGGCTGATGAGCCAGTCATACCGTATATCTCTTATGCTGAACAGTTACAGGTAAGACACCAGTTGCAGGTATGTTTCTTCTACTCACTCCCTTTATAAATAAGATGGAAAGAAAACTGATTTCGATGTTTTTGGTGTTATGGTTTAGGTACATAGAGATGCATTGAGCAAGATCTTACAAGGGAAAGCCTTTGTTGATCCCTTGAGCATGGCGATACAATAGTTCTCTTTTGTTGTTAAAGAAGCCAGATGCAAAGGTTTTAAAGGGATTTTACTGGTTGATTTATATAATCATTACAAATATTCACATCTTGGTGATTGATTGGTTCGGCAGAAGTTAAATGAACACATCAAAAAATGATGTTGCAGCAGATGCCAAGAGAAGAGAGCTAAATGATAGGATGATGCTGGCAGAAAGATGGTTTCTGGATTCAGAAGGGATAAAAGGGAAAGAATGGTTCAAGCATCTTGTGAGTTAACTTAAACAAAACATGATTTCACCAATCTTTTCAAACTCTTATGTGAACTTGTGTTTGCTTGTCTATGTAAAGGTGTATGGACCTGCAGCTGAACCAGAGAGCAAGCTAGGATTCTTCCCTGGGATAGCAGATGCTGTTGCAACACACTCATCAGAGGGAACGATCCAGCATGAGATATGGAGAGTTGCGAGAGCGATTCATAGAACAAGCAAAGCTCCTTTGGGCTCAAATGAGAAAACAAAAATTGTAAACACTTGTCGTTTGTATATGTATTGTGTGACTTTAGATTATAGAAGCATAACAATCTGACCTTATAATGTAACCAAACTTATAGTGTAGTATTCAACACACATTCAAGAATTCTTGACGCTGTAGATGATAACATGCATTGCTCTGTATATACATAATAACAGAAAAACTGAAGAATCAATCAGATATGAAGGTAGAGAATCAAGCAGATATGGCATCAAGTGAGACTGGTTCACATTAACAATCAGATTAATTAGATGCATCCACATTTTAATCCTATAAACCCTCAAGATTCACTGAGATCAGTTTAATCGCTTGTTTTTCATACCATGAAACAAAATAAGAAGCTTGTAGGTCAAGCTTCACTGTAAGATATGCATGCATTCCCATTATGGCCAAAATGTTACTTAACTTAAACTACCTTTAAAATTTGTTAAACCGAAAGATTGAATTGATTTAAACCAATTTAAAAATTAATTAAAACTAAAAATAATCTAAACCGGAAACCAATACAAAGTAAACCAAAATCTAAGAGAAATTAACCAGAAATTTGAGTGGATAGGTCTGGTATAATAAGTGTGGCCCAATCTAATAATTAAAATTACTTTAAAAGTCTGCCGTGAAGATGGAAATTTTGAAAGTCTGCCACCAAATGAATGCATAAGTCGACTACAAATATAAATCGGTTAAACATATCTGTCTGGCAAAATTATGTCTAGTATCCATTAAAAGTCGGTTGTACATAATATTAAATCGGTCATAAAGATCTAACCGATCCAAAATAAAACTGATTTTTTAAAAAATTCGGTTACTTCATTCAACAGACTAAAACATATAAATTTGTCGACAACCTTAAATCGGCCAAACAAATCAGCCACCTCAAAAATATCTGCCGTAAATCTAAAGTCTGCCACCAAGTACTTGGCAGATTTAAATTTTACAACAGTTTAAATTAACAGATTTATTTACCGAGAGATTTATTTTTTCGTAAACAAATCTGCCGACGATTATTTTTTCAAAACTTTAAATGGCATTTTTGTAATATCATTTTTTGGTCACAATTATAAGTAAGGGCACTTTGGACAATAAAAAAAGTGTTAGTAATTTTAAAGTTTTATGAGTTATTTTAGTAATTACTAGATTAATTTGAGTTATTTTAGTAAACTTCCCTAAACTTTATTAACAAAACAAATTAATTGTATATACTGTAAGTATGTTTTAAAGAAACTCTACCGCTGTCAATGCTCTTAGAGTATGCCCATTAGCAGTTCATAAGAGAGGTTCACACAGTCCCCAAGAAAAAAAAAGAATATAATAATTGCAAGTGGTGAACTCAGCTCGCAGGGGGTCTCTGACGTGAATCTGTATCGTAACTGTTTCATTACTAATATAGAATGATCAAACAAAAGAGACCTAGATCAAGGCCATGAGATACATAAGCTGAATAGAAACCGGAGCCATAAGCCGGATAGAAACCGGAGTCATAAGCCGAATAGAAACCGGAGCCATAATTTTAGAACACAACTTTCACCTAGAATCATCTCCACCACTATAACATTATCAACGCCATCATGAAGCTAGCACAAATTCCTACCTTCGTAAACACCCAAAAAGCCGGAAGCTAGCATAAAGCTGGAGAGATACCTTTAGACGAGAACCCATCTTCAACAAAATCAGTCGTAACTTGGCTGAAACCATAAGACGAGAACCAAAGCCCGTGAACTTGCAGAGAAATCCCTTTCTCAAACCAGAACCTTTCCAAGAGAGACACACCACGTCGCGAAGAAATGCTTGAACATCAAAGCTATACCCATCGAAGATAAATATGGAGCGACAAGAATCTGGAGACACCACATAGGTGACTAGAACAAGACTCCAAGACCGACGGAGAGGGGAATGAACTCTTAACCAGAAGACAACAAGGAAACACCACCAAATTACTAAGACCAGTCTTAAACCAATACCCGTCGCTGCTACAGATAATCAGAGAAACAAGAACTTGCACGAAATTTACCGACACATAGACCCAGCTAAACAGAAGCCTAGAAAATCAAAGAGAAAGGTCCGCAAAGCTAGGATGTCTGGGACAGAAAGATTCAGGTGAACGAACAAAAGAATAAGCTAAAGCACAGAAACCTTACGACAAATCGAAAGAGAAAGAAACAAAGAGTGAAAGGCTCAACCGCAAGACCTCTAATGACACACTTGAACAAAGCTTCACCAAATCCGATGGAAGAATTAAAAACCCACATCAGAGTCGGCTAAGTCCTGAAACCGCACACCAGAAAAAAGTTCAGATCTGGTCAAGCTCCCCAAGCTAGACTTGAAGGCGACGAAGAACCCAGAGCACTACACATCGAATTCCCGAGCCATCGAGGTTCCTCTGCCAAGCTGATTAAGACAAAAGAAAACAGAACGAGACAACAAGACAAACGGCCCTCTCACGGCGCCGACGAAGCTCGCCAGACACTGGAGAAGGCAAGCACAACACTTTCTCTCTCTTTTTCTCTCGGCGTCTATTAGGGTTTTTGTAATGTTGTGATCGTATCTCCACCCTCCTTTGTAGAGTATTTCTAGAATCCAAATTATTTCTAAAGCATAAATAAATGTTTTTCAATTATGCTTTGAAAATATTTTTGAAAACTACTAATTGTTCTTTCCACTTTCTTTGTTTTTGGCTCTAAAAAATAATATATCTAGAGCATTTATTTTTTTGTTTTAGAAATTTTTTATCCAAGTCACCCCTTCTCTATCCCCAATATATTATTTGCGAAGTGATTTCGTCATATGTCATCTCTATAATCATGACTACTAAAATTAATGACATGGCGTATAACAAAATATGACATGGATAATTACATTTAATATGGATTTATATATTTTTTTAATTTTTTTAAAATATGGTAATAACGCATACTTTACATTTAATGTTTATATTTATTTACGGTAAATAATTCAAAATAGCACATTTCTAAGTTTATGTCACAAAATAGCTTTCAAAAACTAAAATGACAAAAATAGCATTTTATCTTATGAAAATTTTTTAAAAAATTTATTTTTTCAAAAATTGAAATCTTATCCCAAAACCCTACTCCCCAACTTTAACCCTAAAACCTAAATTCTAAACCATAAAACTCTTAACCCTAAACCCTAAATCCCACCCCTTAACCCTAAACCCTAATGTCTAAATTAATTTATCATTTGGATATAGATGTATATTTATCTCTTTTGATAAAATATTAAGTGCTATCTTGGTCATTTTTATTCTTAAGTGCTATATTTGTGACAAAAACTTTTTAGTGCTTTTTAGTCATTTTCTCTTTAAAATATAGTAATAATTCATACATCATCTTTAAAATAAATATATATTCAAATATAACATTACAAATTTCGAACTATTATTTTATTTTATTTTATTTTTCATATTATACAATTTTGTATTACTAAAATTTTCAAAATTTGCTACAATTTTTAAAAAATATAAATTTCTAATCGTAAAATCATCAATTTCTTATATATCTAAAATTTTTGTAAATACAGTTTAGTTTAAATTTTTGATAATTATATAATTTATATCACTGTTATTAATTTTATACACATTTACTCAATATATTTGAGCAATAGAAATGAATAGAAAAATCTATCTAAGAATATAATTTTAAATATATACATTTATATTCTTAATTATAATATTAAATAAACAAAACTATTTTTCTTTATTTAATGATTAACTAAATCAAATCTATATTTAAATATTGCTAAGAAAACAATAAATCTTTAATACTAATTAAATTTATTACTAAATATAATTTAAACTTAAAATATTTCTCGCTACATAAAAAAAACTAGTTACTATAATAGAAGTACAGTTATAAAATACCTCTGAATTTTCCTAATTATTTACAATGGTATGCCATTGAAGTCATTAATTAGCCTACTTTAAAGAATTCTTTGTCTTTTCTCTTTAATTAACGCATTTCTTAAATAAAATTCTAACTAAAAGTTCATGACAAAAATAATTAATGAAAATAACTAATTTCATATGTACATTCAGCAATTAAATAAATAAATTATATGGTAATTATTTCACTAATTCCATATACATAATAGTTAATTCCATATTAATTAATCTACCTTCTAGGATTTTTTTTATTAATTATCTACCTATCTTTAAATAGTTAATGAACAAAAATTGTTTTCATAGATAGATAATGATATTTTTATTATTTATAAGTAATAACTAAAATAAAAGTCACAAAAAGAAACATTTATATAATATATAGATTGATATAAATTATATTATGTTATGTATATTTTCATATAAATAATAGTCCAAGGTAAATTCAGTATAATAAATGTTAAGAAGTAGAAATATATAAGACCATATATTTTAAATAGTATATACAAAAATTTAGTTATACATTATCATAAAATTTTGATCCATTAAATAAAAATACATTTTTTGCAGAAATATGGGTCATATTTTAAAACTAAGGATGATATAATTGATGGTTTACAAGATAAAATAAATTACTCAATATAAACTATAAAATTGTGTGTTTAAAATGTCTTTTTAATCAATTGTTTAAACGGTAAATTTAAAACTATATAACTTATAAAAATATAAAAACAAACACATGCGCGGATGCGCGGGTCAAACAACAAACCTTTCGGTCTTCTTCTGTCAAAATTAAACTCATAAGTAATTTGTAATCATTTACATTTAATTGATACTTTCATTTTATTATTTTAAAATTTTCAATCCAAATGTTTTATATATTAAAAGTCTTATAGAATTTGAACATCAGAATTTCTCTTAGAAATGTTATAATTAATTGATCATTTTTTTTGTATACCATAATGACTCGTACTTCTCAGGATGTGATCTATCTTTAATTGAAAAATATTTTCAATATATAGTATACATGTTAGATTTCTTTATATGATACCAAATAATTGTGATACAATAAAATGTTAACACACACAAAAAATACTCTATGTAATACAATTAATTTTTTTTAAAACATCATTTAGCACCAAAAAATAAAAATATAAAATTA